TGCAACAGTCATGACAGGTGAGCTGCAACAGTCATGACAGGTGAGCTGCAACAGTCATGACAGATGAGCTGCAACAGTCATGACAGGTGAGCTGCAACAGTCATGACAGGTGAGCTGCAACAGTCATGACAGGTGAGCTGCAACAGTCATGACAGATGAGCTGCAACAGTCATGACAGGTGAGCTGCAACAGTCATGACAGGTGAGCTGCAACAGTCATGACAGATGAGCTGCAACAGTCATGACAGGTGAGCTGCAACAGTCATGACAGGTGAGCTGCAACAGTCATGACAGATGAGCTGCAACAGTCATGACAGGTGAGCTGCAACAGTCATGACAGGTGAGCTGCAACAGTCATGACAGGTGAGCTGCAACAGTCATGACAGGTGAGCTGCAACAGTCATGACAGGTGAGCTGCAACAGTCATGACAGGTGAGCTGCAACAGTCATGACAGGTGAGCTGCAACAGTCATGACAGGTGAGCTGCAACAGTCATGACAGGTGAGCTATGACAGTCATGACAGGTGAGCTGCAACAGTCATGACAGGTGAGCTATGACAGTCATGACAGGTGAGCTGCAACAGTCATGACAGGTGAGCTATGACAGTCAAGACAGGTGAGCTGCAACAGTCATGACAGGTGAGCTATGACAGTCATGACAGGTGAGCTATGACAGTCATGACAGGTGAGCTATGACAGTCATGACAGGTGAGCTGCAACAGTCATGACAGGTGAGCTATGACAGTCATGACAGGTGAGCTATGACAGTCATGACAGGTGAGCTATGACAGTCATGACAGGTGAGCTATGACAGTCATGACAGGTGAGCTATGACAGTCATGACAGGTGAGCTATGACAGTCATGACAGGTGAGCTATGACAGTCATGACAGGTGAGCTGCAACAGTCATGACAGGTGAGCTATGACAGTCATGACAGGTGAGCTATGACAGTCATGACAGGTGAGCTGCAACAGTCATGACAGGTGAGCTATGACAGTCATGACAGGTGAGCTATGACAGTCATGACAGATGAGCTGCAACAGTCATGACAGGTGAGCTGCAACAGTCATGACAGGTGAGCTGCAACAGTCATGACAGGTGAGCTATGACAGTCATGACAGGTGAGCTATGACAGTCATGACAGGTGAGCTATGACAGTCATGACAGGTGAGCTGCAACAGTCATGACAGGTGAGCTGCAACAGTCATGACAGGTGAGCTGCAACAGTCATGACAGGTGAGCTATGACAGTCATGACAGGTGAGCTATGACAGTCATGACAGGTGAGCTGCAACAGTCATGACAGGTGAGCTGCAACAAATCTGTGACAAAGTTCTTTAGTTATATATCTAACTATTATGGGTCCAAAGCTGGATATAAATGTGTGTTAATGTTAACAATGTCTGGTGTGTGTGTTAATGTTAACAATGTCTGGTGTGTGTGTTAATGTTAACAATGTCTGGTGTGTGTGTTAATGTTAACAATGTCTGGTGTGTGTGTTAATGTTAACAATGTCTGGTGTGTGTGTTAATGTTAACAATGTCTGGTGTGTGTGTTAATGTTAACAATGTCTAGTGTGTGTGTTAATGTTAACAATGTCTAGTGTGTGTGTTAATGTTAACAATGTCTGGTGTGTGTGTTAATGTTAACAATGTCTAGTGTGGTGTGTGTAATGTTAACAATGTCTGGTGTGTGTGTTAATGTTAACAATGTCTGGTGTGTGTGTTAATGTTAACAATGTCTGGTGTGTGTGTTAATGTTAACAATGTCTGGTGTGTGTGTTAATGTTAACAATGTCTGTGTGTGTGTTAATGTTAACAATGTCTAAACAATGTCTAGTGTGTGTGTTAATGTTAACAATGTCTAGTGTGTGTGTTAATGTTAACAATGTCTGGTGTGTGTGTTAATGTTAACAATGTCTAGTGTGTGTGTTAATGTTAACAATGTCTGGTGTGTGTGTTAATGTTAACAATGTCTGGTGTGTGTGTTAATGTTAACAATGTCTGGTGTGTGTGTTAATGTTAACAATGTCTGGTGTGTGTGTTAATGTTAACAATGTCTGGTGTGTGTGTTAATGTTAACAATGTCTGGTGTGTGTGTTAATGTTAACAATGTCTGGTGTGTGTGTTAATGTTAACAATGTCTGGTGTGTGTGTTAATGTTAACAATGTCTGGTGTGTGTGTTAATGTTAACAATGTCTGGTGTGTGTGTTAATGTTAACAATGTCTAGTGTGTGTGTTAATGTTAACAATGTCTGGTGTGTGTGTTAATGTTAACAATGTCTGGTGTGTGTGTTAATGTTAACAATGTCTAGTGTGTGTGTTAATGTTAACAATGTCTGGTGTGTGTGTTAATGTTAACAATGTCTGGTGTGTGTGTTAATGTTAACAATGTCTAGTGTGTGTGTTAATGTTAACAATGTCTGGTGTGTGTGTTAATGTTAACAATGTCTGGTGTGTGTGTTAATGTTAACAATGTCTGGTGTGTGTGTTAATGTTAACAATGTCTGGTGTGTGTGTTAATGTTAACAATGTGTGGTGTGTGTGTTAATGTTAACAATGTCTGGTGTGTGTGTTAATGTTAACAATGTCTGGTGTGTGTGTTAATGTTAACAATGTCTGGTGTGTGTGTTAATGTTAACAATGTCTGGTGTGTGTGTTAATGTTAACAATGTCTGGTGTGTGTGTTAATGTTAACAATGTCTGGTGTGTGTGTTAATGTTAACAATGTCTGGTGTGTGTGTTAATGTTAACAATGTCTGGTGTGTGTGTTAATGTTAACAATGTCTGGTGTGTGTGTTAATGTTAACAATGTCTGGTGTGTGTGTTAATGTTAACAATGTCTGGTGTGTGTGTTAATGTTAACAATGTCTGGTGTGTGTGTTAATGTTAACAATGTCTGGTGTGTGTGTTAATGTTAACAATGTCTAGTGTGTGTGTTAATGTTAACAATGTCTGGTGTGTGTGTTAATGTTAACAATGTCTGGTGTGTGTGTTAATGTTAACAATGTCTAGTGTGTGTGTTAATGTTAACAATGTCTGGTGTGTGTGTTAATGTTAACAATGTCTGGTGTGTGTGTTAATGTTAACAATGTCTAGTGTGTGTGTTAATGTTAACAATGTCTGGTGTGTGTGTTAATGTTAACAATGTCTGGTGTGTGTGTTAATGTTAACAATGTCTGGTGTGTGTGTTAATGTTAACAATGTCTGGTGTGTGTGTTAATGTTAACAATGTCTGGTGTGTGTGTTAATGTTAACAATGTCTGGTGTGTGTGTTAATGTTAACAATGTCTAGTGTGTGTGTTAATGTTAACAATGTCTGGTGTGTGTGTTAATGTTAACAATGTCTGGTGTGTGTGTTAATGTTAACAATGTCTGGTGTGTGTGTTAATGTTAACAATGTCTGGTGTGTGTGTTAATGTTAACAATGTCTGGTGTGTGTGTTAATGTATCACTCACAGCGATGCTAACACCCGTTTTGCTGGGTTCCAGGGAGATGTTGGTGAAGGTGATTCAAGCATTGGTGATGACCTGCTTGATTGTTGCTGCCAGCAGCCGGCGTCTGCCCAGTGACCAGAGTGGGTCTGCCCTCCCTCAGCCTGCTCCTCCTCGGCCTACCTCTCCTGGAGACTACGTTTCTAAGAAAGAAAGTACCCCTGGCAGGAGGGAAAGTGACATGACTGCCACCAAATGGAGGGAAAGTGATCAGACCATCACCAGCACCGTGAGAAGTAGCCTAACTGCTACCAGCAGGAAGGAAACTACCGTCACCAGGAGGAAAATCACCCCCGGAACAAAGGAAAGTGTCCCCAACACGAAGGAAAGTGCCGCCAGTGGGAAGGAGACCGCCCCTCCCCCGACCACCACCACCACCACACTCGACCCCTTCATAGACTTCTGTAAGGAGGCGTGTGAGGCTGGCGTGGGCGGCCCGGAGTGTGACTGTCCTGACCACCCTATTGGTTAGTTGCCTGGTCCTTCTGGGGGCCCCCAGCAGGAGCAGGCGTGCGTGGGTGTCAACTCACTATACTACCCAGACCCGGGTTCGAGGCAGGACAGTACATCTCCGTCATTTCCCTGGGTATTACGAAGCCATTATTGCCTCGTACAAAGCCGGGATGAATATGATAGTCCTCTGTTAATAAACCTTTCCACATAACAGTTCGAAATCGCTGAAACTGGCGGTTCATAGAGGGCGTGACGCTATGTTATATCACTTGACACTTCACTGTACTATAGTGACATTGTAACAAATAGGTTTAAGTGCAGTAATTGATGTAGAAGCAAAATGATGGTGATTGTGAGAGATTGTACAAATTTACAGGTATGGACAGGTATATTAACGATGAACATACGCTGGTTTGTGCGTGTACATAAGTTACCATAAATGGTAATGAGTAATACCCATTACCAGTAATAATGGATAATATAATGTGGTATTATCTTGTTATCTGTTGTATATGGTTTTATGATGAGTCCATTTCCAATTGTCACATTCTCAAAACTTATCCAGACTTGTGGTTTGTTGTTGAACTCTGATAATTGTATCATTTACGGCAAAGACATCTAAGAGAAGTTGACAACCTCAAATGTTGAACTGTCATTTAGCAGCGTGTTCCGTCAAAGGCTGATAAGGCTGGTCACCCTAGTATGTTAGTGTCCGAACTAGTGTGTGAAACGGTGTAGTTGGCAGGTAATCTGACGGAACACTGACTGCTCCTCAGTGGTAGTCGAGCTTGGGACCACTGGCGTCTATGTTGAGAATGAGTACCACACCGCCACCTCACATTCACTCACGTTGTCTAGTGACTGACCCGCCCACCTTCATGGTGTCTAGTGACTGAACCGCCCACCTTCATGTTGTCTAGTGACTGAACCACCCACCTTCATGGTGTCTAGTGACTGAACCACCCACCTTCATGGTGTCTAGTGACTGAACCACCCACCTTCATGTTGTCTAGTGACTGACTCACCCACCTTCATGTTGTCTAGTGACTGAACCACCCACCTTCATGGTGTCTAGTGACTGAACCACCCACCTTCATGGTGTCTAGTGACTGAACCGCCCACCTTCATGGTGTCTAGTGACTGAACCGCCCACCTTCATGTTGTCTAGTGACTGAACCACCCACCTTCATGGTGTCTAGTGACTGAACCGCCCACCTTCATGTTGTCTAGTGACTGAACCACCCACCTTCATGGTGTCTAGTGACTGACTCACCCACCTTCATGTTGTCTAGTGACTGAACCACCCACCTTCATGTTGTCTAGTGACTGAACCACCCACCTTCATGGTGTCTAGTGACTGACCCACCCACCTTCATGTTGTCTAGTGACTGAACCACCCACCTTCATGGTGTCTAGTGACTGACCCACCCACCTTCATGTTGTCTAGTGACTGAACCACCCACCTTCATGTTGTCTAGTGACTGACTCACCCACCTTCATGTTGTCTAGTGACTGAACCACCCACCTTCATGGTGTCTAGTGACTGAACCACCCACCTTCATGGTGTCTAGTGACTGAACCGCCCACCTTCATGGTGTCTAGTGACTGAACCCCCCACCTTCATGTTGTCTAGTGACTGAACCACCCACCTTCATGGTGTCTAGTGACTGAACCGCCCACCTTCATGTTGTCTAGTGACTGAACCACCCACCTTCATGTTGTCTAGTGACTGAACCACCCACCTTCATGTTGTCTAGTGACTGAACCACCCACCTTCACGTTGTCTAGTGACTGAACCACCCACCTTCATGTTGTCTAGTGACTGAACCACCCACCTTCACGTTGTCTAGTGACTGAACCACCCACCTTCACGTTGTCTAGTGACTGAACCACCCACCTTCACGTTGTCTAGTGACTGAACCACCCACCTTCACGTTGTCTAGTGACTGAACCACCCACCTTCATGTTGTCTAGTGACTGAACCACCCACCTTCATGTTGTCTAGTGACTGAACCACCCACCTTCATGTTGTCTAGTGACTGAACCACCCACCTCCATGTTGTCTAGTGACTGAACCACCCACCTTCATGTTGTCTAGTGACTGAACCACCCACCTTCATGTTGTCTAGTGACTGAACCACCCACCTTCATGTTGTCTAGTGACTGAACCACCCACCTTCATGTTGTCTAGTGACTGACTCACCCACCTTCATGTTGTCTAGTGACTGACTCACCCACCTTCATGTTGTCTAGTGACTGAACCACCCACCTTCATGTTGTCTAGTGACTGAACCACCCACCTTCATGTTGTCTAGTGACTGAACCACCCACCTTCATGTTGTCTAGTGACTGAACCACCCACCTTCATGTTGTCTAGTGACTGAACCACCCACCTTCATGTTGTCTAGTGACTGAACCACCCACCTTCATGTTGTCTAGTGACTGAACCATCCACCTTCATGTTGTCTAGTGACTGAACCACCCACCTTCATGTTGTCTAGTGACTGAACCACCCACCTTCATGTTGTCTAGTGACTGAACCACCCACCTTCATGTTGTCTAGTGACTGAACCATCCACCTTCATGTTGTCTAGTGACTGAACCATCCACCTTCATGTTGTCTAGTGACTGAACCACCCACCTTCATGTTGTCTAGTGACTGAACCACCCACCTTCATGTTGTCTAGTGACTGAACCATCCACCTTCATGTTGTCTAGTGACTGAACCATCCACCTTCATGTTGTCTAGTGACTGAACCACCAGTAAACTCTTGGTTGTTTCATGACTCACAAAACTTAGCTGAGTACTGGCTGACCATCTGTGGTGGCTGACCATCTGTGGTGGCTGGTGGCTGACCATCTGTGGTGGCTGGTGGCTGACCATCTGTGGTGGCTGGTGGCTGACCATCTGTGGTGGCTGGTGGCTGACCATCTGTGATGGCTGGTGGCTGACCATCTGTGATGGGTGGTGGCTGACCATCTGTGATGGCTGGTGGCTGACCATCTGTGATGGCTGGTGGCTGACCATCTGTGATGGGTGGTGGCTGACCATCTGTGATGGCTGGTGGCTGACCATCTGTGATGGGTGGTGGCTGACCATCTGTGATGGGTGGTGGCTGACCATCTGTGATGGCTGGTGGCTGACCATCTGTGATGGCTGGTGGCTGACCATCTGTGATGGCTGGTGGCTGACCATCTGTGGTGGCTGGTGGCTGACCATCTGTGATGGCTGGTGGCTGACCATCTGTGATGGCTGGTGGCTGACCATCTGTGGTGGCTGAACTGACTCCATGGCTAAACTACGTGTGATTAGTAAATAATTACAGTGAAATGTATTTATTATATTGTATTTTTATCCTGTACTATTGTATACGGTAATGTGCAGCTGTAGCATGTTGTGTACTGTTGTACACTATAATGTTATCAGGTGTTACACTGTTCACTATTGTTCAATAATGTACTGAATTAAACTAAATGTACACCCTTGTACCTGATCCAAACATTGGAACAGTTTGTTCACAGACTGGAGTTAATTAAACAACTGTTTATTGGATTTATTGTTATTGTACAAATCTTGCGCTACAGTTATCTTGAGATGAAGTTATCTTGAGATGGTTTCGGGGCTTTTTTTTAGTGTCCCCGCGGCCCGGTCCTAGACCAGGCCTCCACCCCCAGGAAGCAGCCCGTGACAGTTGACTAACTCCCAGGTACCTATTTACTGCTAGGTAACAGGGGCATTCAGGGTGAAAGAAACTTTGCCCATTTGTTTCTGCCTCGTGCGGGAATCGAAGCCGCGCCACAGAATTACGAATCCTGCGCGCTATCCACCAGGCTACGAGGCCCCAGTAACTGTAATATTTATATGAGAGTTTATATGGTAGCGACACCGGCTGTGTTTGAGTGATCTGAGAATGTGATATTGTTGCTTATGTTAATATTTGGCAATAAACACTGAAATAAATTACTCTTTGAGCTCCTTTATGATAGCCAAAGGTAACTATGGGATAACCAATGATAACCCAGGGATAACCAATCGAGAATTACGGGTTCGATTCCCGGGCGGGACAGAAATGATTGGGCGCATGTCCTATCACCTAATGCCTCTGTTCACCTAGCAGTGAGTAGGTACTCAGGAGTTAGTCAGCGTGTTGTGGGGTTGCATCCTGGGCGGGGTCAGTAATTCGACCTTGGTAAGGGGGGGGAGGGGACAATCTATATAAGCCTAACGTATTCATATATAGCACATTACAGCATTGTAATGTGCTAGATTACCAAGGCTACCCAACGATAACTAAGAATAACCAATGATACTTAATGATAACTAAGGATAACATGATAACCAAAGATAACTAAGGGTTACCAAAGATAACTAAGGGAAACCAATGACAATGATAGTTATGTTGAGTTGATTTCATGGCTCAGCGTACCCACCGCTGCCTGTAGCAGCTGTTATACTTCCGGGTACCTATTTGCTGTTAGGTGAACAGGAACATCAGGGTGAAAGAAACTCTGCCCTATTGTTTCCGCCTCCGCCGGTGATCGAACCCGGAATCTTAGGACTACGATTCTCGAGCGCTGTCCCACTCAGCCGTCAGGGCCTCTTGGTAACCAAGGATAATTAATAATAACCAAGCATAACTATAGATAACCCATGATAACTAAGGATAACCCATGATAACTATAGATAACCCATGGTAACTAAGGATAACCCATGATAACTATAGATAACCCATGGTAACTAAGGATAACCCATAATAACTATAGATAACCCATGATAAGTAACGATAATCCACGATAACTAAAGATCACCAAATGATAACTAAAGATCACTAAGGAAAACCAAGGTTAAGTAATGAATACTAAGGATAAGAATGTTAACCATAGATAAATAAGGATAACCAAGTATAATATAGATAACCAATGGTAACCCTGGACAGCCAAGGATAAATAATAACCAAGATAGATAACATACCATTAGACTATGTCTCTTCTTTCAAATACCTTGGTGTCTCTGTCCCTTGTACCTCAACTGCAGTCAATAAGTTACATCAACAATGTAGAGACAGACTCAAGGCTCTCAGAACTGTAGTGTGGTACAGCCCTAAGTACGGTGTTAATATTAGAATAGCAAAAATTATGTACTTAGCATATATACGGTCTCTGATAGACTATTGTGAGATTTTTTTTCTTTGACAATTATCAAAAGAATTAAGTCCTATTGATGTTACGTTAATCGTAACTACCTCGCAAGAGAGGCAGACCTTAAACAGCAAGAGCTGCCAGTGGCAGATATTTAATCTTAAAGCCTAAGATCATAGGACCGCGGGAGCAAACCGCCAGGCGAAACCACACGGGTAACACCTGTCACTTAGGTCGCTGGCTCCTCCTAGTTAACAACTAATAAAGGGTAGCCGACGGATTCTCACTTCTTATTTATAGAAGTGTGGTGCTGTGCAATGGACTCGAGCTTTAGATACAGACTTAATATGAACATAAGCAGGCAAAGCGTTCCAGAACATGAAATGTGGGGCAGTAATATTGAAAGGTTTGACGTAAACGACCGTTTTCTATAACAAAACAATTTATTCACAAAATAAACTAAAACTACTACACAGTGAATTTACGTTACTTTGCTGTCACTCCAGTGGCACATTAACGAACAGCTAATCAACAGCCTGATGGACCCACGGTATCCTTATCCCGTTGTCGCTGACTGAACAATGACACTAACTGAACACAGTGGTGCCCACTGGTGACGCAAGCTTGCAATCAATATTGTCACGGCTTCACGGTGACCAATACTATAATCACAAAACTTGACTGGCGCTCGCTGCCCACAACGAGGTACCAAGTAACAAGGCGGTTAATCCAAGAATGATAACCCCTTATAAAAATCTTACGTTAACACTTGTCTCTCAGGACAATCAACAACAAAAGTTACTCTAATTGAATTTAAACAATTACGTTAATACACACGTGTCTCAACGACATTTAAATGGCAGCAATAACTCGTAAATCAATTAATTACATCAACTTGAAAGTCAAGCATTCGGTGAGTAATTCCCAATTATTACTGAATACAACAGCCTATTAATTCAGACGAGTATTGACAAAGCCTACTGTCTCTCAACTGACAGTTCACTTCCGGTCTTACGACAAGATTACCTTAACGAGGGTAGACTACTGTACCACACACAAGGTTACAACACTCCGTGTAAACAACAACATCAACACCTGGTGAATTCACTAAGTGGCGGTTACTAATTATCTTTAATTAGCTACGAGTGCTTAATCACTCTGTCCGCAGACAGATCTGATCAGTCCAACGAATTACAGCAGCTTAATTGCAGCGCAATTGACTCCGATCATAACAGACCGTCAACCCCTTACGTTAATCAATCAATTAACGACAACTCGTTAAATCGTTAACACTACGTTAGTCTTCACTTGACAATTCCTCCACTGCGTGAACTTCACTGTGACTGTTGCCTTTACACGTCCCTACGTTAATCACAACAATGTTCAACGAACAAGTGACCTCGTTAAGTAAATCGTGACCCCCGGTGACGTTAACTGACTTTAATTCTCACGGAATCCTTCACAGTACACAACGCCTTCCACCAAGGACAAACTTGTCTACGGTTTACACACGGTACAACACAGTACATCACAGTACAACACACTACATCCTTGCCACTCACGGCAAAACTTGTAAATGACTTCCCTCAGTAAATTATCCACCAATAATTCACACTTTACCACAACACAACAGTAAAATTTATAACCAAGGGAAACCTCCCAGTTACCACTTTCACTGCTGAAAAAGGGAATCAAATTACAGGAATACATACGCGGCACATAGAGAAAAATAGCAGCAAATAACTCACTTTACTCTACCGTGTCTCTAGGTGTCCTAACACACGTCAAAATCACAGTTGGGCCCAATCCTTAACTTGATGACAAACAGGGTAGACTCACACGTCTCCAATTCCCATTCACCTCCCCAGGTGGTCCCAGGGACAGAGGACAGACGGAACACTGGGGTGAACCCAGCTTCAGAGTTTTATTACCCAAAACGGAAACAGTGTACTTACATCAATCACGCGTGCCCACTACATACACACACATACACGTCACCCTCACACTCCCACTGCTGCTGCTGGATGATGACGTAGGCGTCCTCACTTCCTACACGTGGTCAGGTGGAGCACAGGGTCCTAGACCACGGGGTTAGCTCCACACACAGAGACCAGGGTGGCGCGGACACGCCGGCTTAGGCAGACCAGGGTGCGCGCACAACAGCAGGGATGCGGTACCACGCCCTTCCACTTGACACGGTACCTCAGGATACGACGGTACACAGTGTTACACGGTACACGAGACCCAAGAAAGACTCCTTCACTGTTCGTTTGTTTTACCTCAGAATTAGGACTTTTAAGGTTTCTCTCATAACACTGAAACCTTCTCTAGCACGTCTCACTGCAGTACCTTCAAGCACAGATACGATAGACGGCGGATGTCCCTTTCCTAGACCGATAATTGACAGCCTCACACAGTCCAGTTGCTCTAAGATGGCGTCCCACAATTACGCGGCTAGATGTCTCAGTTCACACTGTTCGGTACAAGCCCCTTTCCGAACTACCGGATTCTTACGGACAGCACACGGAAAGATAGCAAGATGATAGGCGTGACTTTAGTAACGTTGCAGGCGGTATTTCCCGATGCTTGGCCTAGCTTGGAAAATTACATCCTCTCATAGCAACGTTCTAGGTAAGAATATTTTTTCCTGCCAAGACTACGCCTGGGGTACCATGCAGTACCCCTCAGCGTCTTGACCAATCATGGTTCAGCATTCCTGAGGCCCAGGAGCCCTGGCCAATGGCGCACCTGCCTCATGACGCCAACCCCCTCTCTCACGAGGTGGACACGTGATAGGGGGGGGTGGTCTACGGCCGTTAACCCCCCATACCTCCCTCTCTACACTTGACTTGTACAAAATTTCCCTGAAATCAACTCCCTCCTGTAATTTCCTTCACAGACTTGATACAGTGATCAGAATGACATCAATGGCTAGCAAATGTCATGGGCTGTCCAACGACACCCAACACGAGTGTGGAAAAGTTATATACAGAAAGTTGAATCACGGTGCACATCACTGGTGCACTATGCAATTTCGTACTTAATTCAGTGCACGAGAGAGCAGGAAAAATATGTCCCCTGACAACTATCATGCACCAGCTTTAGTCCTGCAGAATGGCAAAGTATTGATAGACTGGAAAAAATGCAAAATGAAGCACTCAGAATTATACTTGGCTGTCCTATAACTACCAAAGTTCTCAACATGCGGAAAGAATTAAATATACTTAGCATTCGAGATAGAATATTTGAAATTAATCTTATGATGGGACTAAAGCTTCTGTGTGATAACAACAACAACATTGTGTCAGTTGAACTGTTAGAACACATACGAAATGGAACCAGCGAGTCTAAATGGATTCAAAAAAACATCCACTCATATTAAAATGATGGGACTGCACAATGTATATACAGATG